GACCCTGGCCAATTTCGAAATGAATGAACTTGAGAGGAGAGAGAGGATTAGAAGAAGAAGAAGAAGTAAGAAAGAAGAAGAAGAAGTAAGAAAGAAGAAGAAGAAGAAGATGTATACCAGCAAACACAATGACAAGGCTCTTCTTCTTCGCCCAACAATCTCTTCCTCCTCATCTCCCTCTTCCCTTATTCATACAAGAAATAATAATACATTGTTGAATGACTGGTCCAGAATCAATGTCCGAGTTCCTCTTCTACTGCAGGTATCACTTGAGGTCCACCATAGCCATGGCCGCCTCCCTTCTCTCTTCACTCTCATAGGCCGAGGCTATGGCGGACTACTAGGCCTTGCCCAGACGTCCAAAGGACAACCCCAAGCAGCTATGGCTGCTCTAGCTCAGGCCGCCATGCCCAACCCTGCCTTGAAGCTTCTTGGTGTAGCTCTCCCCAGTTGGGGACTCCTTGCTGCAGCGCCCACCAGGGTGATGAAGATGGCTGCCGCCATAGCCAGGTAAGTACCCCTGGCGCTCCTCCCCCTTCCTTCCTCCTCCCTCCTTCTTCCTCCCTCATGTCCTTCTCCTTCCTCCCCAGCAGCGCTGCTCCAGCCAGCGCTCCACCAGTGTGTCGCCAAACTTGCACACCGAAAAAGAGGCCGGGTCTTCCGCCCGGCCTGAAGATATAGCGGCCTGCTTTGCCTCTTGGGCGGTGACTTCCAGGCCGCTGGCCTTCCCAAGCAACCGGTACCTCCTCCTTTTTTGGAGGGAAACATCATTGCAGACTCCGATATTGCCCCTACAGGCCCTAGACTCAGACTGGTACCCGCTAGACCTAGCCTACACTACCGGCCTCTAAAAATGCCACTTTTGTCTTCTTCTGCTCGGCCTCCGGTACCTGCATATTTACCCCCCTGCCGGGTGCGGTACCGGYCTACCCGCTACTTGAGTGCTTTTTCCCCGCTGCAACCCTTCGAAGCCACGGCCACAGGTAAGTACCGGCCCTGAGGGCCCAACGAACGAACAAGTGCCCTGGCGGGCCACACACACACACTCATACCAACCAGCACTCAGACAGGCACAGTCACACACACGCAAGCCAACCACCACTCAGACAGACATGCAGTCCAGCAAGCACACATACACAGACTTACCAGGCGGGGAACTCAGTAGGGCATTCAGTCTATGAGCAAAACTCAGAAATCAGCTGTGAGTTTCAGTCCGTGTTTGGACAGGTTATCACAGGCCGTCTTAAAGTCGACCCTTTTCTGAACTTAGGCGCCAGACGAGGGATGAGCGCAGGCCATTTTTAGGCCCGTTTCAAGGCAACCTTTTTTTGAACTTGGGCGCTGGGGACTGGCGCCATTCGGAATTGGCAAGAGCAGCCTCCCAGCCGGACCAGCGCTATATAGTGCTGGTCCGCCTGGGAGGCGAGGGCAGTTGAGGAGGCAGTCTTCGGACATTCGGCAGCAGCACTCTTGGAGCGCTGCAGTAGTAGTAGAGTACGATAGGAGTCGTCTTCAGCGCTGGGCGCTGCTAGGACCTTAGAGTAGCGTGGAGAGGGAGGAGAGGAGAGTGGCGAAGGCCAGGGAGACTTACCTGGGAGCTTACCTGTGACGCCATCGCTCCAGCTTCGTCTTCGATGTACCTGCAACAAGGCGCCACCTTCCACAGGTTAGTACCTGGCACTGAGAGAGAGAGCTCTTCTTCTCCTTCCTCCTCCAGTCCACCATCTCTCCCTCACCCTCTCGCTACCTGACTTCTCGCTATCTGACAGACTACGAGGGAGAAAGAGAGAGAGAGATTTGTGACTTCGAGATTTGACGACAAATGGATTCCGACTCGACATTGGGACAGCAACGTTGGATGGGGGAGATTATTTGGGATCTATATCGAAGACTTGGTGTTGACGACATCCTCATCCTTCCCTTCCTCTTCGTCTGATCCCCCTCCTTTTCATCTGTGTATGATCTGAGCCTGGCGCATTCCTCCTGTGTGTAGCGCCAGGCCCCTTCACACCTTGCTATGATGATGATGTATGTTTGGTCTGCATTGTGACATTGATTCGTCTGATCATTGGTGTTTTAGCCTTCCGCTGCGCTATCCTGTACTATGTGTGAGAGGTCGGTTCTTGTTCTGGTCTGCATCATTACGGTATGCAACAGTTTGGTATTGGAGCGGACCTCTCAATCAGTGGATCTGCCCAATCAAGGAGCCAGCTTGATTGATTGATTGATTGATTGATTGATTGATTGACTGATTGTTTATTGGTTAATGAAGTACGGCTTCATCAAATCTCTGCAAAAAAAAATTTCGGAACAAATCTCCGGAAATTCGGATGTTAGCATTTCGTTCTTTTTGTTTCACTCTGGGCGTAGTAGGTGAACTAGGGAAGTTGTCATATTCTCGGAAACTGGATCTATTCTTCTCTGAAAGTGGAACCTCCATTCTATTTTGCGGATTTTTTTTTCTTTTTCCTTTTTTTGAAAGCGAAATCTTGCGAAGCCTTGCCTATATCTCACTCATAGCACTGCTCAGTAAAAGCCTCACTGATAGCCGATCGACAGATATGCGAGGCTCAAGGCCTCGATCTGCCCTACTGGGCCCTATTCTCTGTATTGTCGGCCGCCCCAAGTGAAGGCAGGCTCGACCCAGGGCCTACAGGCCTGTTTTGGGGTCACCACGCAACTGGGTAAATTCAGGCAGTTGCGCAATGCCAGTTGGTTGAGAGCGCCCAGGCCCAGGCTGCCTCTTTTTGAATGTAACCGAGGCAGGCCCTGGGCCAGATTCGCAAGATGGACCGAACACAAGCCGCAGGCAGTTGAACACGGGCAACCACCACGGGCCCAGGGTCTGATTCGTTTGGTCTGGGGCTCAGCCTCTCTGGGCCTACTGGAAGCTTCTGGGCAGGGGCCCAACGCAGCCAAGCTACACGCAAGGCAGGCTGGCCACTTCCATTTAGGAAAGGGCCTGCCCACACATTCGATATTCGGGCACTGGCTGCATGCTGTGCGAGCGCTTCTGCGCTAACGCTGGCCAGCGCTCACGGGCGAGCTGGAAGGAGCAGGCAGCCATAGCCGAGCTGCGCTGCTGTATGCTAGATGGGGCGCATGGTGGTCCTTGGGTGCATGTGGCATCTGTGAGTTGGGGATCGAGGTTATGAGTGATACGAGAGACATACCTGGTGCTTGAGGCGAACGACATTGGCCGAGATCTGCTCATACTTCAAGGAGCTGTTGACGTCATCAGCGGCATTGTAGATAGGCTAGATAGGATCTGCCATCTGTAGTCTGGGCGCCGAGCGCAAGATAGGATATCGACATTGGTTCTTTGTTGATGATGATGAGACTATTCCAGCATTGTCAACTATGAGCTTTTGCTGTGCTCTTATTTGGTGGAACTCGTGATGCAATTCTGCTATTGGTTCGAGGTCACGACTGTCTGGTCTCATGTGTATGATGCTGTTTGATTTCTGAAGTTTGTTATCGCTCATTTTCCTTGCAATTTGGTATCGGAGCTGTGGTACGGTGCGCTCATCTCGTGCTTGTCTTCTACCTATGTGGTAAATGCACGTGGTCTGCTGGTGACGCATGCTCAGGGGAGCAATGCGCAGTATACCAAGGATCCACAATGTGATGAAAAGGACTGAAATGGACAATGCAAGATCAGTGCAGCATCAACAAGCAATGTACATTCCGATACATACAAGATGGCACGAAATGGCACAATGGAAGACTTGGAAGAGAAGATCTGATCTGATCTGGACTGACCCGACATCCATCACACATCACGCATGGGAGAGCGAGAGGAGGGACCGCAATCATGGAAGAAAGGTCCCTCCCTCGCACACACACATGGGGAGAAA